CTCACAACTGTTTACGCAGTCAAACAGGGACAGCTGCATCTCTACAACCCTCCAAAACCGGCCACTGACTGTCGTTCCTTTGGGGAGCCATCTGTGATCCAATGATTGTTCAACAGTTTTACCTCTGACACTGCTGGGGGTTGATATGAATGCCCCCTTAACTTAATCAACACGAGCTCTGTGCATTATGTGATCCAGCTGCCATGTTGGACCGTTGTGCTAATGAGAGATGAGTAATTAGACTTAGACTTTTCTCTTTATTGATCCTTTTGGAAGTTGAATTTCCAGCAGCTTATAAAAACAGTGTAGAAAAATAAAGAGGTATAAAAAAATACAGTACAAGATAAACAATATAAACAATAAACTCTTTGCTAGATATAGAAAGTAGACAATAAACAGTAAACAATAAACTCTTATATAGATATAGATATAGATTATATAGAAAGGTGGAGATAAGAATGAAACGATAAAGATAAAATTCACGGAAAATGAAATCAAATAAGTGTTACGAGACCTGTATAGAGGATAAATATATATGGCATTGTGTTGTTAAACAGTGGATAAGTGACATTAATTAGAAATTAGCAGTTACATTAAATTAAATTATTGCACTTAAGTGGTGGATCAAGTTATTGCACAAAAAAAATAAGTAAGAAGAGTGTCCAGGTATGTATGAGTAGATTATTATTGCACAGTTATTGCACAGTTATTATGTTATGTGATTATACATAACTTTAAGCCTTAATATAATATAAAACAAAAATTCAGCCCTGTACAGTTGTCATGAATGCAGAATATTAGCTTTATAATAACAAACATACAGGAACTTGTGGAGAATACATACATGAAACAAAATAGGGGGATTTATTAGAATAATAACATATGTAAATCCATCTTCAGGCATAAATAAGAAACAAAATAAACCCATGAGAAGCAAAAATTGAAAAAAAAAATAGATTAAATCATAACAGCAAAAAAGCGTAAAAATATCCCTTAAAAAAACCAAAAATATAAAATATATATATTTATTATTATAAAATAAATAATTTAAATATCAATAATATAAAAATAAGAATTTATATTATACATATGTATTTTGATATTTAACAGTAAGAATTATCATATTAATCAAAGCAGAGATTTAAATTAAATATAATAAAATATAAAATCTCAGATGCGCATAAATCGCCGCAAACATGATGTTCGTGAGCGGAGTTCTGGGTGCGCTTGTTTTAAGTGTCAGGGCGTCTGCGTCGGCGCGCTGCCCCGTTTGCGCACGTATCACCGCCCTCCTAGCGCGGCCCTGACGCACAAAACGAGCTACCGTCTGTTATTGTTGTTATATGAAACGTTAGCTCGATTTTTAATGCATCATGGTGAAGTGACGGGGTTCGTTTGATAGCTGGCGGCGACATGTGAGCTAACCACCGCCCTCAACTCACCTCCAGCGCAGACGGACTGTGTTTTAATCTTTTACGTGCTGCCGCAGCGGGGTGGTGTTAGTCTGTGTGGAGGGGGGGGCAGTTAGCGGGTCGGCTGCTAAAAGTTCGCCGAGATGAGTCTGCCGCCCGAGTGGGACGACGACGAGCGGATGAACTTCATGTTCTCCGACTTCAAGGAGAACCGAGAGGTGAACACGACGGACTGGGACAGTAAGATGGACTTCTGGACGGCTCTGGTGCTGAAGAGCTGCCGGGCCCGCGGTACCGTGTGCGTGAGTCTGCGGGAGCTCAACGACACCTTCCGCAGGAAAGACACCGCACCGCTGGGCCTGGCGACGGTGCTCCAGTGCCTGGGCAGGTACCTGAAGGGGTTAATATATCACTGTAACATGTGTAATACTTATTATTTATATTATTATTATTATTAATTCTACACTTTATCTATATTTTATGTTATATGTTCTGTAACTGTGGTTCTCAACCTGAGGGTCTGGGCCCTCAGTAGGGGTCGCCAGAGCCTCACAGGGGGGTCGGTAGGCCTCCTTGGTTTTAATGGGTGTTTAAAAACTTTAAAAAAAAACAAATTAACTGAAAGAAATCTGTTAATTTACATTTTTTTTTTCTTCATTTGGAAATTTTATTGTGAAAAAAATAGTAAAAACTTAACCAAGAATGTTTTTTAACTTAAAAAAATAGTTAGTTTTACTCAGATTACCCTGTGAAGTTAATTTAACTCAAGAAAAAGTGTTGAAAGTGATTAAAATTTTAGGTAAAACTAACTGAATATTTTAAGTAGCTATAGTCATTTTAAGTTAAATATGGAATAAAAATAGTACACGGGTATCAAGAATGTTTTAAACTTAAAAATAGAGTTAGTTTTAATTCAAATTGGAGTTACAGTGTATTATTTATGTTGGGAACACTTTCTAGAAGATTTCTGTAAAATAATGTAAATACTGCTGGATTTGTGTGTGTTTTAGGGACTTTGCTTCAAACTGCAGCTTATATGTGAATTTGTAAGCAAGTGCTTTCCTTTTATTGTCAAGAAAAACGCCTGG